CATTTCATCTGGCAAGTGTTACAAACAAGGGATATTAGAGAGCTAAATACGCTTAAGCAAAGCCTTCATTTAATAAAACATCCAGTGACATTTCATTTGTATCCTTCCTTAAATTTCTGCTTCTATTTAGTCTGCCTCTGAGTATTAAATTCCTGCTGTAGGCTGAATCTGGCCTAAAATGATGCACAGTAATTGCAAGTTGAGCTTCAGTTTACAGACTAAGTCAATAATGAGTCAAAGAGAGACTCGATAAAACAAAATGTATGCAGCCAGGATCCAACTACAAAGCTTTGGGATGTCTAAGTGATACCACAGCATCTGGGAATTTCAGAGTTTCAATTTGCCATGTGCAAAGGGCTGCTTACAAGCCCCATACAGAGTGGGATGTTCTGAGAGCTATTTATGTTTCATAAATTAGGTTTTGTGGTATTTCACTGAAATTTAGAGTGTGTCTATTCCACTTGGCTGTCAGTCCCAAAACCCACTTTGCATTGCAACGCATTTGTGCAAACACCATCGATGGGCCATAATGTTTATCATTACAGCCAGTCCCCTTCCAACTGAATCCACAGAAGTTATCATTACAGAAATTGTATTATCATTTAAAAATTAATTTTAGTAAGCCAACCTTTTGAACTATTTTCCACTTGTCTGACACAGGGTTAGATTTTTTATTTGTTAAAATGCTGCCAATTTTTATACAAGCAATTTGTACATGCCACAGAGGAAAGGACATACACTTCTGACAACTGCACATGCTGCCAAATTTGTTTTAGAATATTGGGGTATAACAAAATCCTAACACAAATTCAATGAAAAAAAAATATGCAAAAATAAAAAAGGAGCTATTCTCGTGTATAACAGTGGACATTACCAAATACACTGTAGAAACACTAGGCAGGCATCAACTTCAGGACACCTGCAAAACATTTCGTTTATAACTTGACCACAATGGTAGTGTTTACTAACAACTGCAGAGCTAGAATTGTAGGAACATTCTAGAAGACAAGAGCCTCTCTCTACAGCACCAGAAGGCATATAGACTCCCAGCAATAAAACCCTCTTTCCTAGGCAACGGGGTTAAAGCTAATAAAGGTATTTAGTGAACTTAGAAGGAGAGAAAAGAAGGGCCATGAAAGGAAAAGGAGCTTGAATTACAATATCCAGTATGCTTTTGTTGGTGTTAAAGCTTTCTAGACTCTAAGTACAAAATGGAAGAGAAAACTAAATGAAGAAGCACTGTGAAGACACATTTAGATAAAAAGCAATTACGAGAATAAATTCAGTCCTAGAGCTGAACAAATCTTCACGGTTGTTGAAAAATATTAAGGAGGAGGAATTCCCTTCCAATTGAGTGGATGCCTGTCACAGAGCAGAGAATCCCCCCCAAGGACAGGTGGCCAAAGGAGTACACCCAAGGTAGCTGGTGTGAATGATTAGCACTGCCAGATAATTCGAGGCATAGGGAGAGACCTTAAAGTAGTAAGAAAAAAAAAGTGTTCAGGGGAGAGGAACTTTCCTGGAATAAGATCCATTAAGTATGGAACAGGAGCAGAAATTTCCAATTGCTGCAAGTGTTGTTAAAACCAGAATAACGCCCTAGAAAAAGCAATTATATCCTCCATCCAGTCCCAAAACTCAAACACATACTTTGATGAATACAACACATTCCAGTCTAAGGGAAACATCTGGCCATAGTGCTGGAAACTGGAGATGACCAAAGTATAGCTGGGGTGGGATTAAAGGAACAGCTCTGAAGTTTACCATGGCAGCTACAAGAGCTACAAATAATTACTTTTGGGAATTGGAGCAAATTTGTCTCACTTGCTGCTAAATTCTCATAGTTTAAGCATTTAAACTGACAGTCTCCCCACAACATACAAACCTCTGTAAGATGTGCAACACTCAGATACAAGTGGTAAGGAAAAAGGGGGGCGGGAACTTTAAAAATTTGACCTTCCTCCCATTTTCACAACTAAATCCTGGGGCCTCTGTCTCTCTCCTATCAAAAGAATCTGCCACTACTTATGACTAAAATTAATTCTTTATAAAGCCGCGGCTTCAGGCTCATCTCAAATTGCAGCATGCTAACAAAGCTATTATTCATCAAGGATGGCACATTTTGAAGTGTTCTATGTCAAAGCTGGGTCAATACGGTTTTCAGTAGGGGGTCACATTCCCATTTTCCCAGCCTGCAGAGTGACCCTTCCTGACTGAACCGATCTTTGTGCATGGAGGAGTATCTGACACAAACCAAACGCTACTGGAGCTTTCCAGTAATGACAACAGGATAAAGGGGGCCTTTTAAGTTCATGGAGGAGTAGAAAGAGGTATTAAAAACCTTGTCAGTATAGCCAAGAGCTGAAAGAGAGCAAAGTGCCAATTAATAATTCACACTTCTATTCCACGTTATCATAGTATCTCAAAACAGTTTGCAAACATTGATTAAGTCTCACGACATCCCTCTGAAGCACAGAAGCATGGATGAAGCTGTATTCCGACCAGCCAGGATGTCACTCCGGGGGCATTTAATTTAGCTGATCTATGTCCCCCTCTTCCCCATCTGTTAAATGGCGATAATGACACTATCATACAGTGGCTCAGAAGCTCAGTGATTTCTAAATGAACACATTTTTACACAGAAAAGCAGCACACAAGGGCAATCTCGTATGTCAGACTACACTCAGTTGCACTGAACTAAAGCTACCACATTCAACGTAACAGCTAGTGGGAAAAAAACCCTCTGCCTTGATTTTATAACACTCTACAGATTTGCTTTCCTCTGTCCCTAAATAGCCAGAGCATTTCAGTTCTAGTTAATGACCAGGATTCTTGGGTACTGTGTTAACACAAAACTCATTGTAATTACAGTAATTAGATCTACTGTAGAAAGGATTGTGAGAAAGACTGTTCACAGTAGCCTCTAATTCTCAATTAACACATAGTCGTTGGCGTGTTTGGAAGGCAGGACAGACACAGGCATAGCTGCAAACTTCAGAGGGAAGAGTCATTCACATTCAGATAGGAAGTAAAGCACATTATACACTGTTTAATCCTCGCTTTGACAGACATGAGCAACATCCACTTACAGACCGTCAAAAGGCAATTCAGGGAGGCTCTGAGCTGCCAAAGGGTAAGGGCAATCACCCACACTCCCCACAACCAGCATTTAATTTCGGGAACTCCTCATTCTCAACCCTGTATTTGGACTCTTTTTCTTTTTTTTTTTTCCAGTAAAAAAGCCCACAAACCATCACTGCTCCCGGTTCTAATGAGAGATAGTTTATTCCTCCGTGTTTAGGGCTCTTTCAGGCATAGAATCAGACAGAATTACTTTGCTTAAATCTCTTACTAATCTGACTTTTCCAGAAGGACCAAAGATAAAGACAAAAGTAACGGCTTCAAGAAATACAGCTCTTTTCTTCTCCTGAGCCTGACAGTCACTTCCAAAAGCAGATTGTCATGACAACAAACAACCTGGAGGCAATCCAGCCAATTAATCTCCAGAGGAAGCAGTCATCCCAACCTTGGAAAAAACCACTGCTGCTTTAAGCCTCAGAAGGCAAACAACACCCACTCCCCCCCCCCCCCAAAAAAAAAAAAAAAAAAAAGACACCCAACAAGAAACCTTACCACCCGCATTAATCTTATTAGACACTGCCTTGGGTCTGCAGTGAAAAACAATTCCACCCTCGGCACAGGGGCAGCAGCATTGCTGCAGCAGCAATAGACACATCAGCCCCTCACCAGCCCTTGCATGCCCCAGACAGAGTAGGAGCAGGTCAGCCCCCTCTGCCAGGCTCTGATCTGAGCAGGCTGCCATGGAGCCCAGGCAAGCAGGTGAGTTCCCAGGATGACCCCTTTAGCCCTTACGCATGGAGCCAGAGGAAGGAGCTTATGGGTTTGACAGAGGAATGGCACAGAGGAGACTGTCGCATACCACTGCTATAAAACCTGTTTTGTGGGCACTGCTGTTGCTCTTCCTGTGAGCTGTCAAGCATATTTATCACCATGGTAAGCTTGGAATTATTTTCTCTCCCACAGAGGACTAAATCATCAGTGCAGTTAGATATTAAAGTCATTCTCCTTCATTTTCCCTAATTTCTTCCTCCTTCATACCCCGTTTTATCTCTCTTCATGTGCCCTGCTCCCTATAGGCCCAAGCACATCCCATCTCCCCTGAAAATATCCACCACCTCCCATTTTTTGCCTAGCCTGATCTCTCAGTGGTAACTCAGACGTTAAAATGTTTAGCAGCCAAATGTCCAATGTACATAAATTTGTTAACCTCAAGTCATTCATATATACTTCACATTTTATAAAATACTATACTATTAAGTTACAGAAAATATAACTGAGGAGCACTAGATGTAGACTTATGTAAGTTAAAAAGTCAGAGATTGTGTTTTGAGATTCTCAGAAGACTAATACACAACAATTTTCAAGTGAAGATTTTCTTCCCTGTCCTCATCCTTTTTTCTAGATACAGAAACAAGGAAGGGTAGGAATAAATTCTTTCACCCGTAGACTCATCCTGCAGAGAAACGTGCCTTTCAGAAAGTAAATGAGCAATGAGGATCTAAAGCTTTAAACCTACACAGATGTACTCATCTGGTAAACAGACAGACCACCAAACTACTTCAAACTGAAGTTTGAGTACTGAACCCTCTGTGTCCAATCCATATCTCATAGAAAGTCACTAAATGGATTCCCAGCAACTCCAGTGAGCGCTGGATCACAGATTATAAGCACTTCCTGCAAAAGTGCATTTTTACTGATCTGGAAAAGATACCACTGTTCTGAGAACTGAAAATTAAATGTATGTATGCACACATACACACATACTCCACATGTTTCACTCTCATTATCTGCAGAATTAGGAAACAACAGCTCCAGCCAACACAGAGCAAGCCAACAGAATTGAAGTTTCTACTGAGCCTTTTCCACGTTAATTTGAGTTGGTATAATACTGGAGAATAGAATAAAAACCCCGTGCCTACCTTGAGCGCTTTCACAGCTTTCTTCATCACTGTTGTCTTGACAGTTATTTTGACTGTCGCACACAAAACTTTTATCAATACAAAGACCATTTTTACAGTGGAATCGGGCAGTAGAGCAAAGCAGGGGATTTGCTGCTGTGAAAAGAGAAAGTAAGATCTTTCATTAGAAATTCTCTTGCCCAGGTTGCGAAATAGCCGTTAAGCAATCAAGGACAACAGGCCACAATGGGTCAATTCGCTGAATATGTGGGAGTAACTCGGCAACCCAACCAACCTTGTCTCTCTAAACAGAGCGTGCTGAAATTTCTAATTCATGCAAGATTCATTACAATTAGCAGAGATTTAGTCCACCCACAGTTGTGATAGCCTTCTGTTCACTTTCATGAGAGCCCCTATCATGTTCACTGTTCGGTGCTCAGCATTTGCTCACGCTGAAGACATATGGAGGGTAGCACTGCCTACCATAAACACTGCCTGTTGCATCCCATTGCAACAAATTCAGTTTAGCTCAAGTTTCATATTATAAGCCAACAACCCTGGCTGAGAACTGCCAGGCAGTGTTTTATTTACCTCTACTTCTGTCTTTTTCCACCTTCCCCCATCCTCCTCACTATTTTGAATTCATACAATGGCAATGTTGATATTTCTTAACTTCTTAGTGTTTCAATTTTTCAACTTCCTTTTTAAAGGTAATATACACATTACAGTAGCGCCCAGAAAATCCTTTCACATAAGGCCCAGTGTTGCACACAGAGCAAAACCAGGATAGTATTTAAGCAGACTCATTTAGGTAGAGCAGTCTTCTCACCCACGCCAAACCCAGTAGTAAATATGCCATAAGATGCTATGTCTAATTTAATTTAAGCTTCAAGCAGTGCAGTTTTCACCACTTCTAGCAGATTACAGCACAGCTTCAATGCATCTCACTGTCAAGAAAGTTTCCTTGATATTCATATTAGTTTTCTCTTTTCTAATTTCATCCCTCTACTCTTAGCTATAGTCCAGCATACATAACTACCTTGAACAGTATTTGCACCCTTCACATACAGCATATACAGCCTTATCTTCCAACATAGTCATCACCTAGCTGAGATATGCATAATTTAGCAGTTTTTAATATCTCCTCATAAATCACTCTCTCTGCCCCTTAATCACTTTTGGCAGTCTTCTCTGAACTCATGCCAGTTTTTGGTAATGAGGTGACTGAAATGGAATGCAACTTTCCAATTGAAATCCTTAAAAAAGATGTTTAGATGCCTTGCCTGCTTCAAAGTGCCTCTCTGTCACAATAACAAAGGGGATTACAGCTCTCATATACTAAGTGGCTTCTCTTGTTCTTTAAAGTAAGAGCTGCCTTTAAAGAATCTTTAAAAAAAACTCACAAAACTTTAAAGTCTGCCATGCATATAACCTGCAGTATGTATAACAAACACTCCCAATTCCTCCACCCCCCAAAAAAGCATGTTTATCATGAACATGCTAAATCCCCTTTGGTCTGACACTGCTGCACACTTGCGTAGCACACTGATTTTCCAGGTCACTTCAGGGCCTACAGTGTTATTCCTCTGCATACACAAAAACAGTGACTAGATGCTTGGATATGCTAGAAAATACCAAGTGTGTGCTTAAAGGGCATAGAGAAATGGGGAGATCAGCAGCTGTAAGGTCCCGTTGGAGCTACACCCTACAAACTCATGGAAAATTATGTCATTCATAACCAACTCCATGAGCTGGTGCATTTTCAGTTGAGACCTGCCACCTGTCAGTACACCACCTCAAGGATATTCAAAGCACTTTTGTCAAAACTTCCTAGTCCACTTGTTTAAGCATAACCCAAAGTAATTTCCTTGGCCTTCAATCTTCTTTCTCTAGTTCCACTTGTTCCACAAAGGTGCTGTCTCCCTGCCATAGTCGTCCCAGCCCCAAACCAGCCTCTCTAGGCCAACAACAGACAGCAGCACCTTAAGAGATGCTCATGCTGTGGGGGAAAGCACACAAGCAAGAAAGGCAAGTCCTGCAAGAAGCAGACAGTGATAGATCAACCATAAAGATCACCCCTTTTGTTAGCTCTGAAAGCTGGTGTCTGTTGTCCTCCTCCTGACCTCTAAATGTCATTAAAAGGAAACATTCGGTGTGCTCCAACAGGAGAATGCACAAGTATTTGCTGCAAGCTTCCACCTACAGACCCACGCTTTTACCAGCTTCTCATAATAGCAACAGAGCTGCTGGATCGAACGTAACCTTTCCTTACTGCTATGACACATCCCTGCTAGACTTCCAGATACAAATGGATCCATGCAGCCACACACTGGGGGTTTAACCCAAGTCAAGGAGACTTCAGCCGATCTCTCTGCTGTGACTTCCCTGCAAGCTGCTGGACAGCAGCTGAAGCTAGTGCACTGGCAGGCATCTCCAACTCCGAGAAGCTCCTTCTCCTTCCAAAAAACTGTTTCATTAAATAACATTTTATGTGCTTTTTTGTTGTTTGAGAACGTGTACAAAGAAAGAAACCTAAATCTCCTGATGAACAAATAAGTTATGTCCTTCAGTGACAAAAACCAGGCAAATAAATATTAAACAATTTTAAGTCCCGTTTTATATTTTCCCAATTGGAGTTACGAGTTCAGAGAACCTGTTCAAAGCAAACATGCAGCTTAAATCTCAATTCAAAGTTACAGAGGAGCTTGACCTATCAGTCAGGCATTATACACAAACCCAGACTGAGCTGGACCTTAAGAATAAAAAAGATTGTCATTTATAAAGTGAAAAGCACAAGGATCATCTGGGTCATATATGACAGGGAGAATATCTGACTCAGAAACTGAAGGCTAACAAATGCTTCCTTTCTAAGTATTTAGCTGAAAGAAAAAGAAGGAGCCTCACTCCCAAGCAGGCTCGCACTTACTGCAGTTTTCCTCATCGCTGCCGTCGGGACAGTCCTCAAAGCCGTTGCAGCGGAAGCGGCCGATGATGCAGTGGATCCCGCTAGCGCAGGGGAAGAACGTGGCACCACATTTGGATTTGGCTTTCGCTAGGAAAACACATAGACAGAAGAGGGCAAAGATGAGGGAAATAATTTACAAAGGTTAGAGATACTTTTACAGCAGCACAGGTTAGGGTACTCTAGGCAGTGCTGGCAGCACTGATATTATGTGCCTTCCAAATTCCCCATGACCTGCTTTCAACTGACTTCAGTTTTTTGTGAGATTTCACTTGCCTGGGCTGAATTTTTTCCAATTTTTAAGATTTCCAGAATAATCGAAACATTCAAACTTAAGTCAAATGACTTCTCAAATCAAGTTTAGATAGCAATGCTTTGGAGTACAAGTTTGTAAATTTGACAAGCAGGTATTCCCTACTGTCCCTTAAGACCTATGTGATTTTGACCAACTTAGAAGCAGTGGGGGAAAAAAAATTACAATAAAGAGTCATACTTCACAGAAAACAAGACCAACATTTTCTCCCCAGAACTTCTCCTATCTCCTCCTCCTCCTCCTTTCAACTGGAAATTTCTCTTTGCACAGAAGCCTGTTGTAAATGTCACTGCCCCAGGCCTAAGTCCAGGATACAGACATCTAAGTAGGTCCTCAGGCAGCAGACAACAACCCTCAGAAGCGAAGTTCTACTGGACTAGCCATAGTCCCACCCAGCCTGTAGCTATATGTCATGCAGAGTCCACAAACACTAAACGGCAGCAAAAGTCCAGATTTTGTACACCATCGAGCTTCCCTTGCTTGCTCAGAGAAGTCGAACAGTGAAGAGCCCAAGGTAGACAGAGATAATGAACACAGCAGCAAGTTCAGAGAATCTGGGGGCAATCTTGGGCAAGGACAGGTGTACAAAGAGTAAGGCAACACCTGGAGAAGGAAAGAAGGAATACAGAGATATCAAGCAAGTCAGTGTCTTTGTGACAGAGTAAGCAACACAGGAGACCTTCACAAAAGTATTTTTCAGGCTGCAAAAAATGAAACTCAAAAGGAAAATGCTATAATTAACACTGCCTTTATTCAGAACAATTTATATAAAATTGGCTGCAAAATGAACATGAGTTATATGAATTGCTGTACTTTTCTCCATCACCCATTATACAGTTCTTTAAGACAGAAACTACATCTATTTCACAGTACCAGCACAGCTATTCATGTAACACTAAACAATAGCATCAAAATGTGTTTAACAAAAGATTACAGACTCTCACTATGATCTCAAGTACTTCACAGTTTTTTACATCATTGCAGCAACTCTTCATGGCAAGATGAGAACACTGCCCTCAGCTAGACACTGCCCTCAGCTAGAATGGTGCAGACGCTTCCACCATGATGCTCAAGGCAGGCGCCAGTTAAGTCTTGTGTAGCCTAGAGCCAGCTTAGAACAAAGCAAATCCCAAAGCGAAGAAGGAGACATGGGGTTTTTTTCTCCCTTTTGTTTTTTCAAATCAGCACATGACACAATGGAGCACATCACAGGACACTGAACTCTTCAGAAGCAAAGCCAGTCTCTGCAGGAAGAACACGCTGGTAACCTGTTAAAAGAATTTTGCCAGACTGTGGGTATCTCTAGGCTGGCTTTATTAACCACTCAGCGTTGGGCCATCACCTCAGTGACTGGCAGTGGCTAACAAAAAATATCTTCTGTATATAATTTCTACATAACATTATGCAATACAAAAGTATTCGGTGTTTCGCCACGAACTCTGAGCTCTTTATTCTTCATCAGTTTCAAAAGTCCATTTTATTCCACAGCTTCAGATGATTCTCATCATTCTGTTCCAATTCTTGCTTCAGTTTCAGGGTCATCTTTCAGGTCACCATCTTCTTCATCTTTCTTCCACTAGTTTTCATCTCACACAATTCTGAGAAAGACTTCAAGATGTTTATTAAAATTTTAGGTAGAGCAAGCAGTTTCTATATACTAAAATCTCTTACTAGCAAAACACCTGTGTTTAGTCAATTAATCATCCTTTGTTAAAACTGTCTCTATATGACTAGCTTCACTGGGTTTTAAACCAGCCTTGGGTTGGGACTATACAAGTAGCAGGCTAAGAACACTTTTCAGGCCTGTTGAGCAGCATTCCAGTTGCGTTACAAGATAGTTCAGTCCTGACCACATTTCATTAGGCCTTAAAATCTATTTCAAATATACCAGAGATTATATTTAAAATTCTTCTACATAACTGCAGGAAGGTGTGTGTGGTGCAACGTGAACACACCGTAATGCCATGCACAGACCACTGATGGGAGAACACCAGAGGAGAACCGGCTCCATAACTTGCAGGCCTTTTGAGTAAATGTACTCCTACACCAAATCGACAAGATGCGTTTACAACTCCCAGGTTTTGGGATGTGAAGATCTGGAGATCACAGCAACAGGCAGTGTTTTTATGTAGCCATACAGCACATCAATACACCAACCTACACAGTTATATAAGGCCAGGACAAGGTCAGGGACAATCTGACAAAAAAAAAAAAAAGTATATGAAATAAGGACAAACAGCTTCAGCATTAGTTTGGAATCGCCTCTTCAAGAGTTAAAAACAAAGTGCAGCTGTAGCAAAACCTTCTTCCATCACTCAACAGAGTGTATATAAACTGTTTTAAACCACAGCTACAGTAACTCTTACTTGATTTAGTGTCCTCCAAGAGCAAATTCCTGCAGCGCCTCTCTTACATGTTTTTCTTTATTATACCAGTAGCTTCCAATTAGAATTATGAAGTGTTAAAATATGATGTATCACTGAATTTCACATATTCAACTACCACTTTTTCTGAAGAGTATCCAAGGTCCACTTAAGGGGAAAAAAAGTGAACCGTTACTTTGTAGAAAAACAGGTGATAAATTTCCCAGAAGTAGCTGCCATGCTTAGCACCATTGACAATGGAAAACCCTCAGCCAAGACATCCGAGCCCCTGCAATTCTTCACACAACTTCAAAAAGCAACTTCTGTTAGAGTCTTGAGGCAGACTGATCCAGCTAAGTAGTTCAGTAACCACAAGGTTTGAGACAGTACCATACCCCCAGTCTTTAAACAAAAGCAGCAAAACAAACACCTCCGCAACAGATTCCCAGACTGTCAGGGAGGCAAGCAGCCTGTATTAGCATTTGACCAACATTTAACACCCTAACCAGCCAGCCAAGCTGCTGCGGGGAGCGCATGCTAATAACACATCTATGTGAAGAGGTGCCCAACGCTTCACACACTATGTTGGTTTTGTTGTTTTTCCAAAAGCTAACATCTTTTTGAAACCATACAGTGCATTTACATTCCCCAGACCAAATGACTGCTTCTGGACAGCTTCCTTTTTTAGAGATGTATTTTAAGCCAAAACAGTTCCAAGAAGAGGAGATAAAGAAGAAATAAGAGAAGTGGATATCAACTGTGGTTTTGCCCTTGTTAACATTTACTGGATCACTCTTCTTCAAGCAGATTTACTTCAGTCATTTGGGGTCTGAACTCAGAGGCTATCAACTTTCTGGGAAATCATATTCAGAGATGCCCTTTGCCATCTCTGAAAAATCCCACCAAATTAAGGCTTCAAAATTACTCGATTCTAAAATTTCTAATATGGATGATCTCTTACTCCTACAGCCTTATGCTTGACAGACTTCAGACTGAGAACCATGAAAACCTGAGCCTCTGGCCCTCTGAAGAGCAGAAGCCATGTGCCTGCACATTTGTGACCAGAGCTAGAAGCTCTGTTTCAGGTACAGCAGACACATGTCTAAGCAGCCTCAGCTGTCCTGGCCCCTAAGGCAAGGAGGATCAAAGCACATCTGGTGCATTACCTTGAGCTACCGCAGAAAAGCCATAAGCAATATTTAATGTTTGACCACATGTGGAGGAAAAAGGTAATGGAATGACCAGGAACAGAGTCAAGTTTCTGGAAAATGCAACTCTGTCTTCCATCCAAAGCATCCTGATACACCATCAAAAAGAGGGAGAAACCATTCAGGACAATGATTTAATGGAGGTATTACTTGGACACCTCCATTACAATACACAACATTTTGTTCAACATCTTCTCCACAGACCTTTTCCTATCTCCTCCTCTTGAAACAGCAGCCAGAGAACAAGAAAATTTTGTTTTAGAATAACTGTTTATTGAAAGAGCACATACTAGTAACCACAGACCAAAACCAAACATGAAACTAAACACCTTCAAATTATCTCTAGGTTTCCCTTTTACATAGTTGACCGATGTTTATTTTTCTTTTAAAACTTGAGGGAAGGAAAAAACCAACAAACAAAACCCAAATGCAAGTCTCCCTTTTCAACAGGCATGGATATACACACAAACCAGTTACAATTCAAACTTACATTTACACTGTACACCCTGGAAAGATAAAAGCATTTCAAACACCGTAACGACTCACTAGTCACACAGCTAGCCATTTACTAGACAAGTCTCACTCCCAAACAGAACTCTGTTTTCCAAGATCCAATTCCAGACACAAAATGCATTTCTCATATGCTATGCATAAACGTACGAAAAATGAGAAACCAGTAATGGCTTAGTACAAAGCCACATCTCTTGACTCTAGAGAACTCCACTCCTCCTGAGCAGAAATGCACCTTCCCATTTCACAGCCATCTCTGGAGACACCCTTAACGTGAAGGGGCTTATCCATTTTCTCCAGGTCTTCGGCCCCTCACAAGTAACAAATATATATACCAGGATCACGACTGCCTGCAGCAGATTCAAGTCACGTGCTGCACTATTCACAGCACTCCTCTGCAATTCTATCTCCTATTACATCACTGCTATGAAAAAGGTTTTATTCTCCTTTCTCATCATTGTGTCTTCTACTGCACGGGTCTTAAGTTTTCAGGCAGAACTGTATGTGAAAAGCTTTACATTTATTTAACAGCAGCTATCTGTTTGGCTCCTTCAGTGACTGCAGCCATGATAAGCTTTCAAGGACAGCATTATCTTTGCAATCTGTATCCTTCTGTTACACTTGCCTGAAATGGGCTCAAGGTAATCAAAATTCCCAGGATATAAGGAAATGACAAAAGATAAGTGAAAAAGGACA